TGGACGTGTTATAGCGTTTGGACCCTTTTACTTTCGGTACGGATGGTATGAAAGTGGTTTCATGTCGTGTGAATCACTCTCGGAATTCACGTTGTAAATGATGTTGAAGTATAGCCTGTACCATCCGCCATCGGTCGCGAGAAGCCACGAGATGAAGCTTTGCGCGCAAGTCACAGGCGGAATGTAGCACTCGCGCGCTGAAACTGACCTGCATTCGGATTTTATCGACCAACTACATAGATCTTTTTGATATTTCTTCAGGAATTGTGCAATCGCCTCCTTTCATTAATTTCCGCTTGCGTGCAGATCTGATAAGTTCCCCTTTAGCATAGTACAAAGTAGTATCAATCATGGCTTATAATAACGGGCTGTGTGTGTGTGTGTGTGTGTGTGTGTGTGTGTGTGTGTGTGTGTGTGTGTGTGTGTGTGTGTGTGTGTGTGTGTGTGTGTGTGTGTGTGTGTGTGTGTGTGTGTGTGTGTGTGTGTGTGTGTGTGTGTGTGTGTGTGTGTGTGTGTGTGTGTGTGTGTGTGTGTGTGTGTGTGTGTGTGTGTGTGTGTGTGTGTGTGTGTGTGTGTGTGTGTGTGTGTGTGTGTGTGTGTGTGTGTGTGTGTGTGTGTGTGTGTGTGTGTGTGTGTGTGTGTGTGTGTGTGTGTGTGTGTGTGTGTGTGTGTGTGTGTGTGTGTGTGTGTGTGTGTGTGTGTGTGTGTGTGTGTGTGTGTGTGTGTGTGTGTGTGTGTGTGTGTGTGTGTGTGTGTGTGTGTGTGTGTGTGTGTGTGTGTGTGTGTGTGTGTGTGTGTGTGTGTGTGTGTGTGTGTGTGTGTGTGTGTGTGTGTGTGTGTGTGTGTGTGTGTGTGTGTGTGTGTGTGTGTGTGTGTGTGTGTGTGTGTGTGTGTGTGTGTGTGTGTGTGTGTGTGTGTGTGTGTGTGTGTGTGTGTGTGTGTGTGTGTGTGTGTGTGTGTGTGTGTGTGTGTGTGTGTGTGTGTGTGTGTGTGTGTGTGTGTGTGTGTGTGTGTGTGTGTATATATATATATAACGAAATTGACAGAACGAGTCGTAGAAAGATTTCAAGCCCAATTTTTTGCACAACATGCACTGCCGCCATCCAGATTCCCCATGCCAAAGCACGAGCAAATCCATTGAGTAGGACCCTCAAAAATCGCACCCCAAACGGATCCACTTAACGTCTGGCGCACAATATTGGGTCCGTATTACCACTTGTTGAAAGGAGTGATCATGTTTGGCAAGTGAATGTGCTAGCCATGATCTTTAGCCCAAAAAAGTGATGGAAGTCTATTGCTCCACGAAAAAGGAGCCAAAACGAATTATCTTATATATAAAGCTGAATGTCTGTTTGTATGTCTGTATGTATGTCTGTATGTATGTCTGTCTGTCTGTACGTATGTTCCGAATAGAAAATTCCATTTCTGAACCGATCCGGACCAAACTTGGCACACATACATTTCGGGCCCCGGCGGGTGTCATAGGCTACTTTTCGTATCGATCGATATCGATTTTATTGATTTTTTGCAAAATTTGAGCTACGGGGCTGGGAGTTGGCACAGGGGGGTAAGTGAGCATGGGGATTCCGAATACAATATTAGTTTTCAAAATCGTGCATCACTTTTATCGATTTTATCGATTTTTTTGCAAAGTTTGAGCTATGGGGCTGGGATTTGGCACAGGGGGGGGGGGGTAATCGAGCATGCTGATCACCCCCGTGGGGGTGATCAGCATGCTCGATTACACCCCTCTGCCAAATTCCAGCCCCCTAGCTCAAATTTTGCAAAAAATCGATAGAATCGATAAAAGTAATGACGGTTTCGAAAACTAATATTGTATTCGTAATCAGCATGCTCGATTACCCCCCTGTGCCAAATCCCAGCCCCCTAGCTCAAATTTTGCAAAAAATCGATAAAATCGACATCGGTCGATAACGAAAAGTGGACTGTGGCACCCGCCGGAGCCCGAAGTGTATGTGTGCCAGTTTGGTCCGGATCGGTTAAGAAATGGAATTTTCTATTCGGAACATACGACGGAGCCGGGTAAGCCAGCTAGTTTGCATATATGGTCAATTTACCAGGCTTTTACCGAAGCATTTGAGAAGATTTTTTCAGAGGACTGTAGCTCGCGATAGGCACAAAGTCTTAACTTAATACTACATGGCGCCAGTGGCGTACCGAGGGGGGGGGCGGGGGGGGGGGGGGGGGTGCGCGCGCCCCCCCCCCCCCCCCCGAGAATGGGTCGCGAAATTTCGAAAGTTACTTAAACGGGTTATAAAAATGTGTAAGTGACTTGTTTATTTTTGTAAATAATTAAAATAATTTTTAAAAATTTTTAAAAATTCAAATTAGCCTTGTAAAAAAAATTTTTTCGGGGGCGTGGCTGACGCCACGCCCCCTTTTTCCAGATCTTAGGGGTCGGGAACCCGAAAAAAATTTGAGAAGCACCCCCAAAATTTTTTCGGAGTGGTGGCTAACGCCACGCACCTTCTTTAGAAAAAAATTTTTGTCGCCCCCCCCCAAGCCGAAATCCTGGGTACGCCACTGCATGGCGCATAGTATTTTCGAGCCTTTTAGTGTCAGAACAAATGATTGCATGTTCAATCAATGATGTTTCGCTTAGTGCTCTCTCGAACGGTTAGATACACCACATAGAAAAACGAGATACAGGGCTCCTAAATTGCAGAGTCGTTTGCAACAGCGGTCGCGCGACCGCTGGTGCGAACGACTCTGCAATTTAGGAGCCCTGTAGTTGAGAAATCTGAATGCAGGCCAGTTTCCCCCCCCCCGACTATTACATTCCTCCGCTTGTCACGCGCGCGCAAACCCTCATCTCGTGGTTCCTCGCAACCGATGGCGGGTGAGATACGCCTATGCACACATACGGGCAGACATACAAACAGACAGCCTTATTTACACGGATAAGTTTTCTCAAGAATTATAATTTCTTCAGAAAAGGAGCATTCAGGACAAATTTATAGGGCGTTTGAAAAATAGTGACGATGGCGCGACCGCACGGGGCACGCACGCCACTTCCAGAAACCGCATTTTCTTGGCCTTTACCTATAGTCGAGTGGTTTTTTGCTAACGTATGATAGGATTCAGACTCTGGAAGTGACTGAACTGAGCGTTGAGGCAATGTCTTCTTGTATGAGATTTTATGTTCCTGTGGGCAAAAAGTGCGCAGTCAAATCCGTCGTCGCGATTTCAGAAATGAACTATACCACTTGGCAAAAACAGATTCAAGCTTGCTCTTGGACTTTGAGAGTAAGTTAAGCGGGTCAGGGTCAGGTATAAGTAGTGGAGCTAGTTTGCTGTTCGGAATCGTCTTTGCTTCAGTTTTGGTAAGGGTGTGGTAATTACCGGTCTAGCGCATTTCTTCTTAACCTTGCTCGATTGCAATACTTCCTCCATTGAATCGGAATCCTTTCTTGATTACCACCCACCTCTCCTTTCTTCAAATAGGTGAGGGTGAAACAAAGCAGTCCTTCTAAATACTTATAAGCTTTAAAACCGTGTCTATGTAGTCCACCATGCTAAATCCTCCTCAAAGTCAGCTGTGGTCTTGAACAACACGATTTCGCCAGCCTTCTATTGTCTTGGCTCCTTCGTCAATACCGCGTGAAAAACCTGTTCCCTCTTGTTTTCATCATCACACCGTCGCTTGCTCAATGAGAGCGACGAATCGCGTCTGGCTTCCTTTTGAAGTGGGTAGAGGACATTAGGTCGCCGAAAGGGGCGGTCCTCGGCGGACATTTGCAACAAACCACGCGCCTTCACCATCACTGCCTCATCTAAACGCCTCTGTGGTTGGGGCCTATCGTCGACCTAATGTCTTCCACCCCTTTAAAGTCAACTTTAAGCCATGCATGGGGGCGGGCCTTCTAGCCGTCGCGTTCTTGGGTTCGGGTTTATATTTTATGAGAGGATAAAGGAGAGGGTTTTCTGTTGAGAAGCCATTCTTCACTTCATGTTCATCATTCAGATAAAATCTGTGTGCCATCGTGCATAAGCACATTGATGAGGGTGTAGATTTTGAACAAATTTTTAGCAAAGTTGAAGAGGATTTTACTAGCTCACAGGCATGAACTCGATTCAAAATCTTTAAAATCAGTAGATAATTCTCAAACGAAGCGGAGATGCAGGGCCGCACGCACTAACATCCCCACGGGGGGGGGAAGATCGCAACTTCAAAAAAAACTTTATATACTGAAGCTCCAGATATCTGGATTTCACGCTGTCTACCTATCCGTAAGTATTCCCAGCATCCTTCACTATGAACATATTGAACAGGAGCAAAAGATGTAGAAACAGCATTTTCCAGCTTTTTTGTGTGATCCCCAGATGATCCTCGGCGGTCGACCGTCTTTTCTACAAAGTCATTTCTCTTCCTTCAACGTCAATGGAAACGTGTTAAAGTTGTACAGATTATCCAGACCCACCTGTCAAGCATGTTGTTGATAAGAACAAATGAATTTTTAGAATATTGAATGGTTGGTCTGGATAATCTGTACAACTTTAACACGTTTCCATTGACACTGAAGGAATCCCATTCGATAAATCCCATTTCTCGACTTGTGATTCATGGCAAATTTCATGACTCCAGTACATCATTTGTTCTTGACAGCAACATGCTTAGCACTGTTGGGTTGGATAATCAGTACAGGCCGTTTGCGCTGGGCGCGTAGAGTGGGCGAAGCGTGTAGGGCGCCTCACTCCCCTTTCCTCGTGCACTCTCGCCGTTAGTTTTCTCTGCGCCTCCGGTCTTGAACTGTTTTCAATGGACGCAACCGCGTTGCTCTCCAAGAACAGCGCGGAAGGCCTATACAACTTCGGAACGTTTTCGTTGCATGCGAAAAAAGAGAAATGACTTTGAAGAAAAGACGGTCGGCCGCCGGTGATCATCAGAGGACCATACAAAAAACTGGAAAATGCGGTTTGTACAGCTTCTTGATCCTGTTCAATACGTTCGCGGAGGATGATGCGAATACTTATAAATAGGTAGACAGCGTAAAATCCAGATATCTGGAGCTTCGGTATAGAAAGCTCTCTTTTGAGCTGCGATCCCTTCCCCGGTGGGGATGTTAATGCATGCGACCCTCAGATAGAGGTCACAAACTTGAGGTAAGAAAATTCGATAAAAGCGAAGAAGAAAAACCGATTTGCATCTGAAGTTAGATAGCTAACATTATAAGAGCAGCTTCTTCTTCTTCGGCTGCGGTACTGGTACCGCATTCACCATCCATGAAGGGATCCTGGCTGTCTGAGAGGAGCTATCTTGCGCTGATGCTTCGTCGCCTACACTAGTCACTGCAAGCAGAAATTGTTTTTTGGTGCCTTATCTGCCATTTCACTAAACAGTACCTTCCTGTTTCAGTACAGTTTTAAAGCATTAAAAATAAAACTGAAACAACCTCATGCCCAAGTTTGAAGTAATTCATGATATGTGACGGTGACGGTAATTTTTGGGTGAGAGGGTGAAGTGCGACAGAAAAATTCTGAGTAAACGATTGTGTTAGTTACGCCTTCCGGAAAGACTATTGAGATGCATTCGGAAATGTTTGCGGACAAATTACTTCAAATGTCAAGAAAGGTTGGGAGGTAGGTGAGCTTCGAAAAAATTTCTCACAAAGCTTTTTCAAATTTCAACTCCAAAAACTAAGATTACTTACAGAGGAAGGATACCAAATTAGGTTTGCCTTTTGAGATGGAACACATCTATTTGAAATCGTCTCCGAATGCTGATTCCAATCATGCTGTTCCTAGCTGCTTAGCGCTATTCCGAAGCGAGTTATGGGCTTGCTGCTGTGAACAAATAACAAACTTCTGAATGTCGTTATACGGCGTATAGATAAGAATCTGCTTGAGAAAAGTGCTAGGATGTTGAACTAGCCTTAGAATTCTTTCCATCCTGAAAGGAAGCATCATAAATTGCAAACCTAGACGTCGATACCGTAGCACCAGTGGCGTACCGAGGGGGGGGGCGCGCGCCCCCCCCCCCCGAGAATGGGTCGCGAAATTTTTGAAAGCTACCTATGTGGGTTATAAAAAAATGCAAGTGACTTGTTTATTTTTGTAAATAATTGAAATAATTTTTAAAAATTTTGAAAAATTCAAATTAGCTTTGTAAAAAAAATTTTTTTGGGGGCGTGGCTGACGCCACGCCCCCTTTTTCTAGATTTTAGGGGTCGCGGACCCGCAAAAGTTTTGAGAAGCACCCCAAAAAAATTTTCGGAGTGCGTGGCTAACGCCACGCACCTTCATTCGAAAAAATTTTTTGTCGCCCCCCCCCCTCCCCCGAGCGGAAATCCTGGGTACGCCACTGCGTAGCACCAGTAGGTCGAGCAGCACGCAAACTTTGCATAGAAAAGAGACCATAACTGCTTCAGAATAATGCTAAGCAGCTAAAAACAGCATATTTAGAATCACCGTTCACGCTGATTCCAAATCTATGTGTGTCATCTTAGAAGGCAAATCTAAGTTAGTATCCTTCCCTTGTTAGGTGAAAAGAAGCCGCAGTTTTCATCTCAGGCAGAACTACGAACTATTTTCCTTGACTTTAGGTTCAACTTTCGAGAGAGAAAGAGACATCTTCTCGTTCGCCTCTCCCCCTTTCAAATTGCCACTGTGGTATGTTTGTGCATAGGTTCAAACTTCTTCGAAGCTTTCTTTATATAATTTTCACATAATAACACCAGAACCTTACCTGAAGCACTTTCTCTCGTTTCTTCCATGTCACTGCCTGAATCGTATTCCCATATCAATATTGCTCTCACCAACTTTAACCGATTGTAATCTATGTAGTCCTTTGGCAACGCTTCCATCAACGGTTTCAGTCGAAATACATCTGAAAAGCACGAATAGAGTCGCTTTCATTCAAAAGGTCTTACGCACCTCCACCTAATGCTTGCCTTGCAACACTTAATACCGTGCGGATGTTTTCTGTGGTAATATTCAAAACGTCCAGATGTGCCGGTAGTCCTAGTTCGATTGCCGAGCACAAGTATGACCAAGTTGTCGATTCGCTCACGCATCGTATTTTGGATAAATCAGCCTACAAAAGTTGTTGTGTAGCCCTCTTCCACGTCTATAGTAGGATGATTGCGTACTATTGAAGCGGCTGTCAACAGATGTGCTTTGTAGGTTTGTTGTATGCTCGGAGTCAGCCGAGATATCGAATTTTGGAATTCGGAAGGAATCTAAACAACAAAGGCATAAAAAGCTTTTTGATGTATGCAGGTAGAGATATTCTGCTCTACATGACAAACAGATGAACTTTGTCTCAGAGATAGTGTTCCGTTTCGTAGGCTCGATTCCGGCACATCCCCCTCGCATACACCGTGCGCTGCATCTGCGACATATCCTCTAGCATTTGTTCAACCAGCCATGATACAACCGCCGCTCATGTGAGAAAATGCCCAGCAGACAACCACGCAGACGCGGCGCAGGGTCCATGCAAGGCAGACGCGCGGGACATAAAGCAGCTCAAGCAGGTAACACTGTCACTGACAAGGGAAGGATATTTGGTTGGTTGAAGTGGCGTTTCCAATAATGTATTCTGTCTTATGGAGCACGGAACGCTGATTCCAATTCTCTCTCGGTATCTGCAAAGCGCTTCTGGGAGAGGAGTAGTATGAATGTTTTAAAGAGAAAGTTTCCGCGCGCAAGTACAACAAAATCATTAGAACTGTAATCTGTAAGTTCAAATAGGACCATGATTGGTGCCAGGGCGCTTGTTATATCCAGTTATTAGCTCCAGCTTTAGTTGTTAGCTTTAGTCTAATGGAAATGGAGGGCGTGCAGGAGTTCCTAGCACTTTTCCTCGCATCGAGTTCGCACCAGCATTCGCACCCAGGGGGGAGGGGGGGGGGGGTCTAGCACGTCCGTGCTTCATAAGTCAAGCCAGCCCATTGCTCCACCCGTTTGCTGGTCTCATTGTGAGGTGTGCAGGCAGCGATAGCATAGACTCAGTATTGAGGTAAGAAGAGAAAAATTAAGAATAAACGAAGAACGTAGTTATCATTTCTCAAGTGAGGAGCCTTAAAAACTTCTGCCACGCCATCCTTTCAAAAATGAGCACTGAACATTATTCTCAGAAGAATTAAATAGCACGGAATTCTTTGTATAGAAAACTCGGTCATTCGAAATTCAAAAGGATCTAGTTTATCAAACGTATCTGGTCATTTTATTAAGGTAATTTAGCCTCAGGAATTGAATAACAGAGTGACCAGCAGAGGCCGTATTCATCATTGAACCTGAGGTAAATTCTACCTTGAGGTAAATTTTACCTCAAGGTAGATTGTACCTTGAGCGATTCGTATTCATCAATGTACCTTGAGGTAAATTCTACCTTTGCCAATCAGCTATACAGTGACGTTTATTCCGACCACGCTGTGAGTCTAAGCGATGCATCAAGTTTCTTGTTGCGGATAAAACTCTTTCTAAAACAAAATGTATTGTAATTTTGTATCCCGAGATGACATGTTTCGACAGGGAGACGGTTCGAAGTACCCTTACATATTTCAATACGATAAAATGAGAATGTCTCAGGTCTTAAAAGATCAAAGGGAATTTCTGGCCATTTTCTTTGTTCAAACTACATATTTTGACAAAACAGGAGTTCGCACCTCATTCTCGAAACTTATAAGCGGAGGATAGCAAGTTGCAGTAGCCTCGAAGAAGTATGTACAGACTGTCGCAAAGTCTTTCAGCCTAACTTTGCAACAGTGTAACTTTGTTGAATCCTTTGCAATCGAACCAAAGTTTGCAAGTGGGTATGTCGTAAAGATGACATTACTTTTAAAAAAATCGATATTCGCATCGTTCACAAAAACCGGTTTCTCTTCATTGAAGAATTGTAGAATTAAAACATAAATTCTTGGAATGGTCCTGCCATTGGGCAGAAAAACTTTTCGGATGTGAAAGCCCGAAAAAGCTGAAATGTAATGCCAATCACTTTAGGTGGCAGATTTCGGTTATGAGATTGCATTTGCTACCATAACATCGTTGGATAATCACGCCGGTCACATTATAATCACTGTTGTTTTAATTGTGCTCAAGAAGTTTATATAAGCTAGTTTTTGAGTTTAAAAGGTTGTTACCCTGTTTGGTTTCGCATCATTTACCTGTTACTTGGCCCCTTTCAAAGTCTGAAACGATAATTGTTTCGGAAAAAAATAAAAAAAGAACTTGACCGTGCCAATAACTTTAAGCTTGCAGATCTCAGTGTTTTTCAGGAGCTTGTGGCTGGCGCGTGGCGCTTTTGCCCGCTTTCAACGCTTGGCGCTTTTGGACACTTCGGAGTTCTTTTCGACAAATTTGGCCGTCCTTTAGAAACAGAACCGATTTTATTCAACATATCCTCCCCTGCTTCCAACTATTAGGTTGGTAAGAAAGTTCTCGGACATTCCCTGTATACAAAGATAATACTTCGATGCAAGCACCAAATAGGGCATGCTGTACATCATTGGATAGAGGAAAGCAAACACTACAAGACCATGCTAATCACAACCAGGACTAAATGAATCCATGGAAATAGAGGCGAAGGTTCGAAGACATAGGATTTCGATAGAGCTCAGAACTCCACCTTCCGTAAACACTGTAACACTCACAAATATTCCAATATAAAGTAGACATGAACTCATATACATATATGCAAGGTCTGTATGGAATTTGAGCTTAATTAGCAGGAAAAATGAGATAATCGAAAACTGGCAAACTCCGCCCCTAATGAACCTAAGCTCCTCCCACCTGCACAGGTGTAAGCCGCGTATATGTGAGAGTACAATTACAAATTTTCACGTTCGTAGATGCATTAGAACCCGAGAAATATCAATTTTAGCGTGAAAGTGTCCGAAAACTTTTTTACCAACCTAAAAAATGATGATATTAGAATGAATCATACTGCAATACAATTTACCTTGAGCTGTACCTCAAGGTACAATTTACCTTAAGATATAATTTTCGTATTCATCAAAGTCGCTCTCTCAAGGTAGATTCACCTGTGCCAAGATGATTAGGACTGACGTATATTAGGAGCATGGGATGACACACTTGCAGTAAATTGCTTTCTTTTGTGTTTTCGTGATATTTTCACGAGGAACGTGTTGGAACATCGGTTTCAGAGTTTTACAGTCAATGATTTTGAGACTGTACAGTCTATATAAGCAACTAATTCAAAGGGGGTTTATGAACAAGAAGTTGATTGCTTCTAGTCAAATCGGATTTCAAATTTGTGATATTGTTTCTACAACAATGGAACCTACCTTTCTGGAAAAAGTTCTTCTTGCACAGTTATCAAGAGAGTAGTCTTAACAAAAGCTTCCAAGTTATCAAAGTAATTTTTTTCATAGTCACTTTAGGTTTGAGTTAAACCCTGCCTAACTTGATGAGGTTTTTACCGATAATGTTTTTCAAGTACTTTGCGAATTTTTATGGTGCGCAAAATTCCGCCGAATGTTTTTTGCCTCGTTCTGAGTTCTTTCTATTTCACACAGGCCCGATTAATCCAAAAGTAGTGAAGTTTTGACTTCCAAGGCCTCAAAATCATCATCATTGAAAGTATGTACGGACGGTTCCTTAATGGGTCACTTTCGGGGTTTAGGGAATAGTTTTTTGCTCAAAGCTATAAATGTTCAAACCCAAATGTGCGTGTTGTGAGTAAATGAAGAGTTGAGATAAAAATTTTCCTGCTCAGCCAAAAACATTTGTCTATTTTTTGCATTCAACAGCTAGCTCTTTCTTTCTGCTAAAATGCGGAACAGTGTGCATTAAAGCCACAAACATTTCGGTGAAAGCATCCTTTGAAATCCGATATGACCAGTCAGGAAATGGGATCGAGGGTTACGCTGCAGTACACGTCACCATTTGGTAATGTCTTATAATTCTGAAGATGTTTTCAAAGTAGTTTTTCATCAAGCAACTTCGACTTTATGATTAAACACAGCTAGTGTGCTCAAGATGCTGTGAAATAGAACAACTCCTGCGTATGACTACTTCTATCCATGCGTTTGTTAATATGTATAAAGTTTCTAAGAATATGGACTGAAATTTTGTCTTGAATTCGCTCAACCCCCATAACTCTCAATAATCTCAACAAAATTTCGCAAAATTGCCACAGTGACCTAATTTATGTTACTGCATTACTCATGCAAAAAACCACCTTCCGAAAGTCTATAGATCTCTAAAGGTATCCTTCTAACCTTGCCTCCAGCTAGGGTTAAAAGTTGCATTGAAAATTTACCTCAAGGTAAATGCAGTCCGTTTGATGAATACGGATTCTAAGTGATAGCAGTACCTTAAGGTAAAATTTACCTCAAGGTACTTTCCATTCAATACTAAACACCTTGAGGTAAATTCTCAAGGTAAAATTTACCTTGAGAATTTACCTCAAGGTACTTTTGTGAATACAGATATTTGCTGATAATGAGTGATAAAACTACCTGGAGGTAGAATTTACCTCAAGGTATCAATGATGAATACGGCCACAGAAGTGGTGTACATAGAACCCTATTACCTTCTCAACATTAGAATTACCTATATTGAAAGGAGTATATCAAAGCTTCCGAATAAGCATCTCACCGCTTTTTCCTGTAGTTAGGATATTTGGAAATATATGCTTTCCTACTTGCGCCTGCCATCGCATATGTATTTGTATGAGTTTTTCATTCCGTACTTTAATAATCAAGAAGATCTCAATTGTCGAAAGCAATTTTTCAAGTGTAGTATTTACTACAATCGATATCGGTGCATGTGTGATTGAATAGTTGGCTAAAAGTTCCATATACGACACTAGATTTGCAAGATGCTAATTATAATACTTATAGACTTTAGAACTGTGTAACTGACTACCCTCTGTTGTATACTGTGATTTACTGTAAATGGTGAACTCATAACTTCTGCTTGCTTCATATCAACAGATTATACTTCGCAAGCTTACAAAATTTTGGGGAAGCGTTATTCTATCCGAAAACGTGAGTAAAACGTAACTCGAAATGCTGGAAATTCAGCTATCTTTATGTCTTTCAGTCATTTATGGATCCTAAACCCTTAACCTATAATTTTTTTCGATTTTGATGTATCTTCAATGAGAATGCACGTCTTACGTGCGCGTGCACAATTCAAAATGAGGGCACCTTTGAGGAGGAATGATGGGCGGAGCCGCCCTTCGGCCCCGAGAAGGTGTAATGTCCTTCAGGAGGTGCCAAGTACCCCTGAGAGGAAAAGCGGCTAGGCTTTGGCAACTCCTGCCACGCCGCCTAATGAACTATGCTAGTCATCACTTCTTTCAAGCGCCGTACTTCGAACTTGTTTTTACCTTGACCAAACTCCAAGTCCGTGGTTACACAAGCAACCAAACATGCGTATCAAATGCACCAACCTCTACGCTATCAGACACATTTGCCTCCATTTGATGTTTGCCAACGAACTGTTTGACACAATCAATAAAACGCTGCCCAAAACGTCGTCTTCTCTCGACTGAAAGATCCGAGATGTTTTCGAGTGCGGAGATGCTGAACAGGTGGTAATAACACAAGTGAATTCAGAAGTATAGACTGTTGTACGGTACCTATCAGGTCGATTATTAGCTAGTTGATCCAGTACTTTATTTGAGGCTATCTGGAACGGTCCGCAATCCTGCTCCTTCGAGAGATCCATTCGAACGTTGTCTAGAAGCCGACGAAGTTCTTCTACCTGAATAGAGACTATAAAGGACGTCACCTGGGATTCAATACAGGAATATTGACAAGATAATCTTAATCGTGAATTGCTAGAAAGTCTTACCAACGGCATACTTTGCAGAGAGTCTGCAGATCGCTTCTTGAGCGAGGGATACGATGACGCAGGAAGATATTTGCGTAATTGCTTCGGACCAAGGATAAGGCTAAAAAACGGAAATAATCATGAAGTAAAACTAGAAAATCTTGATGGGTTTCCAAAGACATCAATTACAGCCAAAAAATCAAAGATTGAGCATTTTGTGACCGCAAGTAATGAGGAATGAATAAATTTATCCAGATGCAAGAAACTTTGCACACACCTCTTGGGTTCATCCTTCAATGAGATTACAGTTGCTCCGGCCTTTGAAGTACTAGCTACCGTAGTTTTGTTTGCGGCAGATGAGGCTGCTAATAAAAGTGGAGAAGCTTCTAGCAACAGCTCCTAAACCAATTATCTGCCTTGTATGAAAAAAAAATCGAAAGTATCAAACTAACCTCAACATTAGCCAAATACCACTTTTTCGCTTTGCCTGACAGATTTATACATGCTCCAAAAGCCATATCTCCTTTCCTAATTTCTGTAAGCCATCCGTGTATGCGCAGTTGCGCTCCTAGAAGATGAAAAAGGGAAAACTAACAATGAACCAAAATAAACCAAATACTTACCCAGAGCTTTCCACCACTTATCGCTTCTATTTTTACCAATACCATAAAGAGATCTATTTGAGTCCCGTACACGTGATTTTTCTTTCTCCTGAGATATATGGAGGTTTCATAGTATAAATAAACTCAGAGGATTGAAACCATGATTAGTATTTTGGAAAATATTTGAAATATCCCTAATGTACTCAAAAGAATTTAGGGAGTGGCGCAACTGGATATTTTGTTGTAAAAATGGCGAAAAAATGTCGTGGTGCAGATGAAGCTTCCCTTCATCATGTCTGTTCCAAAAATGATGAAACTTTTATAAAAGCGCGTACTATCTGAGAAATGACCGCTTGCGTCAGTTCTCAAAAAATCGTACTTCTCAAGGTAAATCCTACGCCAAATTTGATATTCTCTTCACACTCTAAATTCAATTTTTCCCCGATCCTTAGAAACTGTAGCCAAAGCGCATGATGTCGCAAGTACGAGGCAGATATTTTTAGACACACTTATGAATTACATTATTTCAAATAAAACTACTCATTCATCATGAATTCCATAACTTACCAAACCGCGGACGAAATCCACTGGCTTGGCTAAACCACTGTAGCCTTTGTATATGTCATCAATGACTTGAAACAACCATCGTGCTTCTTTTCCAACATCTACACATTTCAATGAAGAACCCTATAAAATTGTATCGTTTTCTACTGCAGCAGAAGCTGGGTGCATATATACCTGCTGATTATTGATCTGCCAGTCACAGTTATCGCAACAGTTAGATCGAGGCTGTGGTGGCGCAGCAGTCGACGCGTCAAAATGGCTCAGAAGTAGGCTGAACTTAGACTAAATTTCAAAAGATTCATTTTTTGCTACATTTTCTTTCTGTACCACTCAGCAGGCGTTTACCATTGTCTCACTTCACAGTGTAGCCGGCTCCGGCTCGGGTCCCGCGTAACCGTTTCGATTGGACTCCGCGCCGCGTCTACCACGCCTCAAGCCATTTGTCGCGCCTGAGTGGCGATTAAATGCTGGCTGGTATCGAAGGATGCCTGGAAGATACGTCGTAGAGGCGGCTCAGCATTTAGGCGAGGTGGTCGCGCGCCATCCGCGCCATAGGAGCCGGCAACACTATCACAGCAGAGATAAAGTCGATCACTGTATCTTTGGGAAACGCAATCAAACGCACTATCTTCTGCAACGCATTGAAGTCAGAAACTCTTCCATGGATCGAAGCATCTCAAAGGCATGAGATAGATAAGGTTCCTTCATGGTCTTATTTATACGAGATCTAGAAAAAAACTGCTAGAGTTAATGAATATGAAATAATCTAAGCCAACCTATTCATCACAATGTCTTTTTGCGACCAAAATGCATGACAGACGGCTGAGTCACCATCTCGACCAGCTCGGCCAATTTCTTGATAGTAGCTCTCGATATCTTTGGGACCTGCGATAAAACTCAAATAATTTCAGATTCTACAGAAGTTCAGATAATAAACTGCGGTCAAAAACTAAACTCACTTCCATAATGTATGACCTTGCGCACATCTGACTTATCGATACCCATGCCAAACGCTACAGTTGCTACTATGGTAGTGTACTACAAAGATAACAATTAGGATAAGTTCATTAGAGCAACAGCGATACCTTGTCTTGAATGAAACCATGATGAGCCTCGTTTCTGGCCTTTTCACTCATTCCAGCATGGTACATAGCGCACTTTACTCCCCTTGCTAAAGAGACATTATTTTTCACTACATTAAACTCAAAAACACATGACTAGCCCAGACGTTATTTCTGAACTACCATAAAAACGTTCTCGCAGAAACGGAAACAAAATCAACACCCAAGAATAAATTACCTCTTAGATGCTGATTAACTGACTCTACCATTGCTCGAGTTTGACAGTAAACGATCGTGGCACCACCAAAATGTCGCCCCTGGAGAGGAAAGAAGGCTGATGTTTGATCTCATATCTCAATTTAACCTAGAATTGCAAGAGAGTATCTTCAAAAGCACCCACCAGCTTATCATCTCCTTGGAGCATTTTCTCAAGATCAGTTTCCAGCGAAGTTTGTTGACTGACTGAGAGGTAGAGATTCTTTCTGCAACTGGTTACATAGGGGGAAAACTTGTGATCCTTCTATATAAAGCTGAATGTGTGTCTGTCTGTCTGTACGTATGTGCGGAATAGAAATTTTTATTTCTGAATCGATTTGGACCAAACTTGGCACACATATACTTCGGGGCAGGGAGCGTGTCATAGGCTACTTTTCGTTATCGGTCGATATCGATTTTATCGATTTTTCGCAAAATTTGAGCTACAGGGCTGAGAGTTGGCACAGGGGAGTAATCGAGCATGCTGATTACAAATATATTATTGACAGGCCCGGGCGGAGCCGGGTTTGCCAACTAGTATCTAATGAAACTAAAGGAAATTTTACAAAAACCCTACTTCAGACGGTCTAGAATGAATATCTTTGCCGGTATGGTTATAAAACAAAGCTGATAGAAATGCCTCAACTACAGCTGCTCAGTTTCAACGTTTTCAGGCAGGTCACAGGAGTAAAAATAGATGAGAGTAGTAGCTATTACGTTAGGTTTTAAGATATCGTTATTATCAGCACAATTCTCTGCACCGTTCTTCCGTTCACTCGATGGAAACAGTTACAATGGAGAGTGGAATCCTGTTGTCATAAAGGCCATACACCCGTAGGTATAAGTGTTAATGGTAATTATACCGGACTCACCTGTCAAAACCCGTGCAAGTCACAATAGGGTTGTTCAACTCGAGATTGTCAATGATGTCTTTACATACCACATGAGTTGCAGTGGCAGTAAGAGCAATCACGGGACAGTCACTGTGATAAGACAAAACACGCATTTTAGGCAGGCTGAAAGTCAAAGCACTCACTTCAGTATCCTGCTAATTTTTGCTAAACCACGATACGAAGAGCGAAAGTCGTGACCCCACTGAGAAACACAGTGAGCTTCGTCAATGGCAATCAATTTGACCTCTGGATACAGATCACATAATGTCTCGAAAAACATGCGCTTCCGATGCACTTACTGGATTTCAGCCGATGCAGAAGGCTGGATGCGTTCTCCACATATTCGGGAGTAAGGTAGAGAAACCTAAAAAGTGGAAACTGCAAAAAACTAAACATTGAAAACATGCTACTCTTATCAAGAAAGAATTTGACGCTAGGTCTATAATCCGCTTATATTCGGCAGTCTATGAACTAACGGTACTTTCCACACAACAAACTCAACTATGGGTTATCAAAAGACGGGAACAAAAACATAAGAGGTTTACTAGAAGTCAAACAAGCATATCTCAGTTCGACCAACCTCAATGAGCCATCTTGAATTTCTGACATGATGCGGTCCCTCTCATTCTGATTAGTCGTTCCACTCAATAAGCTAGCAGTAGTACCATTTAATCTGGAAGGCACTTCTGACTCACTCCAAGCACTTACAAGAATTCTAAGGGCCGCATGCACTAACATCGCCGTGGGGAATGGATCGCAGCTTAGTAGAAAGCTTTATATTTCGAAACTCCAGTCACCTTGATTTCACGTTGTGTACCTATCCGTAACTATTCCTACTACCCTTCACTATGAACATGTTGAAGAGGAGCGAGAAGCTGTACAAACCACATTTTCCAGCTTTCGCATGATCCCTGATGATCCCCGGCGCTTTTCTTTAAAGTCATTTTTCTTTCTCCGAAGTTAACGGAAAACCTCCAAAGTTGTGCGTATTATCTAACCCGACAGTGCTAAGCATGTTGCTGATAAGAACAAATGATGTTTTGGAGTCATGAAATTTTCGATGATCCACAAGTCGAAATTTGAGATTTACCGAAAAATTCGACTTTTCAAAAACTCATTTGTTCTCATAAGCAACATGCTTAACACTGTTGTGTTAGATGTTCAGTACAACTTTGGAACTTTTTCGTTAACTTCGGAGAAAGAAAAATGACTTTAAAGAAAAGCGCTAGGGATCATCAGGAATCATACAAAAGCTGGAAAATGCGGTTCGTACAGCTTCTCGCTCCTGTTCAACATGTTCATAGTGAAGGGTAGTAGGATTACTTACGGATAGGTACACAACGTGAAATCCAAATATTTGGAGCTTCAGAATATGAAGCTTTCTTTTAAGCTGCAATACCCTCCCCAGCGGGGAGGTTAGTGCATGCGGCCCTAAATTGCTTTGCAGTCTCGCAGAGAGAATTTCTGGTGCGCAAAAAACGTTGCATCTTGAATGTGAAATGCAAACACTAAAAGGAAGCTTAGCAGTAACCAGATGTGCCCTTCTAAGTCATTTGCATCAGTTGACAGACACTGAAAGAAAAAACAAACAACACATGAGCAGCATGATATGATTCAGGGATAGCTTTCTTATGGAATCAAAAAAGGAAAAAAACAGCTACTTACTTCAAAGTCCTGACTTGATCGTTCATGAGGGAGATCAGTGGAGATATTACCAGTGTTAACGATTTAGATATCAGACCAGGGAGCTGATAGCATACGCTTTTACCGTATCCTGGTGAAAAATAGATACTCATACTAAGCATCTTTTTGGAAAATCCAACCCGTAGACATTAACACCAGTTGGTCTTTGCCATCAAGTGCATTCTTTATAATCTCCCACTGTTTCGGACGAAAACAAGAGTGTCCAAAATAATGCTGGAAACTACGATATGAGGGGCTGATGACTATTAATAAATATACCTTGAGCAAGTCAAGAACATGCTGAGGTGGATTTTCCACCCTAGTTTTCCCGTTCATTTCGCTCAATACAGACGGCGACGGTTCGGTAGTTCTTTCTACTGGAGGAGGAGTAGGTGGTAGACTTCCCACTTCTTCCTCACCGGAGCTCATAATTGTCCGCTTTCTTTTCTGAGGTTTTGAACGAACTGCAAGTCTCTTTTGGTAAACAAAAGAGCAGCTGGGAGCATAAGCAAATCACAGAGTTATCCATCAAGCATAACCGGAAGGCGCACCTGGAGGTGGCGTAGGAGGAGGATCGTCAATATCGCTTTCGAATTCTTGGGTATCATCTGCTATCGATGCTAAATGCACGTTAGTTAAGATTTTTGGAATAAAAGAGCTGAAGGTCCCTTCTCCTGCAGCTTTTGATCCACGGTTCATACCTGGTGGAGGTGTAAATGGTAGTGAGCCTTCCGAGTCGTCGAAGCATTCCAAAAAACTTGGGTTAGTTACCACTACGTCGTCGTCGAAAGAGTTGTACCCGTCTTCAGACATTCTACAAAAAGGAGAAGAGTTTCCAATACCGGCACTTTCTACAGAATACTTACTTCGCTCGCAAATCGTGAAGGTGAAGAATATGAGAGAAATAAAAATTGCAAAGTGACTTCTTACCTCCTAAGATACTACTCAATTCGTTTCATAATGGCGAGAAGCCTTTTAATGAAATAGACTGTGGAATACTTTCAACAGCATTACTACCTCTAGAACTGCAGATCTTGAGATAACACTAGAAACACGTAGTAGTACAAGTAAAAGCTGCTTGTTGTGCAAATCATTCCCTGCCTTTCCTTAAAGGCAGCGTACACCCAAGCTCTAAGGTAGATACCGAGGGACTGTAGATTCGCCCTTAGCTGGGGATCCCTCGACTGGAGCACGGATCTTGTTTGGAGCGCCATAGCTACTCCTCGTCTTTTCTAGGGATTTTGGCAAGCACATTTTGTTTAAGCTCTCTAGGACTTCCTTTTGCACTTCCTAGCACATACTCAGGACGTGGTATCAAAGAGCGCTTTTGGATACAAACTCTAAAAACACATCTTTTTTGACTAAACGAGTATTGGCAAATGCGGCGACTTTACACTTCTTGATCCACCTTGGAAGCGAAGCCATTCTGAACGCTGAGCTAACTACTCTTCAGAATGGCGTCATCGAACGGCCTTGTTCGGCTGAAAGCCGTGAAGATCGTTGAAATTTGATTCAGCATGTTCGCTACCTAGCATTGGTATGCCTTGAATACGCTTGTGCCCGAGCTAGTTGGGAAAATCAGCGGTATAGCACTGCGAATCTTTGCTGGAAGGAATATCCGACATTTTGTGATATGAGCTTTCCCCAGTACACATGCGATTTGATCAGTCCACTTCCAGCAACCCAATACGAAAAACGTTACAAATTTGCTCAGAACTTTGTCAAGGAATTTCTCCAATACGTGATTACGGATACCCTACTTATCTAAGTTTTGAAGCCTTGTCGCGGAGTTACACTGGGTGTACGGACAGAAAGCGAAGATCTGCCTGGAACTTTGGGCATGAGGGGTATCTGAGGCGCTAATCACATAAATCGCGTTCGTTTCGCATGATAGATTTTTTGCTACTATCCCAGTTAATGAAAATCTCCGAATTCACTGAAACCTTGTGTGTGTGTGGGGGGGGGGGGGGGGAGGAGATTATCTAGCATGCTTCTTACAAATAACATATTCATCCGTCACGCTAGCACCTTATTACGGCGTGTATACGCATAAGTTCGAAATCCTAGATTTTGCTGGAACTTCGTCCAGAGGGCATTCGACAACTGATCGCAAAAATCGTGCACTTTTCGCACAGCAAGCTTGGTGAAGTTACGGTGTGGAGGTGCGGTGAGGGGCAGTTACGTACTTGGCTGCGAATTGGTTATGATAGAGCGTATACATCGGTAGACCCCTTTTTGGTTCTTACAAGGTAAGGGTACTTGGTCGAAGTGGCGTTTCCATATGAAATGTATACTATCTTATAGAGCATAAAACGCTGATTACGAATCTGCTTTCCTTACCTGCAAAGCGCTTTTGGGAGGGGAGTTCTGGAAATTTTCTGAGGTAAAAATTTGATGATTTATCTAAGGTAAAAACAGGCGTTGAGTTAGTTTCGGCACTTAAAAGGAGTAATGACAGACACGGGTTTGTTAGATTGGAGGCATTCATTGCATAAAAGCCTCTGGTAGTAATCATGGCCCCATTTGAGCTCACGGATCAAGGTTCTGAATGCATGTAGCCTCGCTTTCGGATTTTTGTATCGAAAATTTTCCTAACTCTCCCCCCAGAGGCGCTTTGCAGTTAAAAAAAGCTGATTTGGAATCAGCATTGCATGCTTTATAAGATAATGTACATTTTATATAGACGCCATTTCAACCAAGTATCCTTTCCTTGTTAGACGAATTTAGATCTCAAAAATCCGCAAAGCCGTATTATGCGAGATGAGCGCAATATACGTGATCAGAAGGTCAGACAACCCCTCTTCACAAAGTTCCATACGATTCTACCGGTTGCCGCATATCTACTATAACTTTGCTAAAGGGTCTTCAAGAGCAAAAAAACAACTCTTTCTTCAAATCTCGAGGTCGCGACTAGTCTCTCTAGGCGAATTTCCACACAAATCTGCGACTAAGTCTCCAAGCAGCATTTCCACTATAACTTAAGGCGCTACCATGACGAACGAATTTTTTATCCGTGATCTGCATAACTCTTTGGGCAATGTTACAGCGACCTATCTCAAGGATGCACATGGTATTCGTGATAGTATGCCGAATAACCCCCCGTGCAAAGCTCCAGCGAGATCTGAGACCCTGACCTACACGGCAAAGACCATACCATGCGAAATGAATATCATTTTTTAATCTGCAGGTCAAATAAGCCCCGAAAGAGAACTTTCAGCAAAATCAGTGATATTGAATTTTTGCTTGAACTAGGTAAACTGTGTCTCCACTGTTCATAGCCTACAACATTCTGGACCGTACCTAATGCAGTGCTTAGGATGCAAAACATCACTCACAGTAGTGAGGGACCGCAAATGAAAGTTACAAAGAACTGAAAACAAATCCTGCTTGTCAAGATGCTGTTAAAAACGAGCGGTAAGAGATGGCGCTCCAAACAAGATCCGTGCTCCAATCAAGGGATCCCCAGCTAAGGGCGGATCTACAGTCCCTCGTAGATACCCAGTTCTCTATACCGTGTATATCTAGGGTCCAGAAGAAGACCAACTGCGTTGGAGTCTCCCGATGTTGCTTCTAAGCGGAGAAAATCCCACCTAATTCTCTCTTCACTCCGCCCCTTACTTTTCGGTCGGCCTCCTTCGGACGAATCCACGACAACAGATTTGGCAGTCGTTGCAACTTTAAACTACAGTTCGTCCAGCATTTACAGGGTATTTGTGGCAGTATCCTCTGTATTTCAGGCCAGCGCCCGGTACGCGTTGGTTTGGAGCATTCTTAGAAACGAAGTCTCCCATGGATTCACGAAAATACAAAGTCCTTTTGAGGTAACAATCAGTAGGAAAATCCTTATTTGATCAACGTAACAAAAAAAAAGCGAGAAAAAAGCGCATTTTGAGGTATCTTGTATAACAAAGGGAAAAAAACATTCTGAGTTGATTAAAGGCTCCTTCAATGAGTAGGGAAATGGTCAGGTACGATCGCCGCGAATTTTTCGCGAAGCGAAGGCGCAGCGCACTTCAGCCAATGCAATGGCAACACTTCTGGATCAGTATTACTTTGGCATCGAGTACATGTGTCTGCCCCCATCCCTGCCCCGCTGTTTTTGCCGCTGGGAACTCTAACAGTGGAGAGATTTGCGAGTCCCGAGATTTGGACGCGGCGTCGCGGCGGAGCTGTGGCCGCGCGCGGCGTACCTCCTGACGTGCAGCCCAGTGAGTATGGTACCATTTTAGTGTTCGTGTTTAAAAACTCCTAAGGCCAACCAAATCCGTGCCCTCAACAATCTGGCTATGCATTTTTCGCCGCATAGTTCAAAGGGGTGTAGGGCGTTAGGCGACAAACCCAATTTTTTGTACCCCAAAGAACTCCCCGTGCAAAACGTCTCCTCCGCCAAAAACAGGGGGGGGTGTGGTGCGGAAGGCGACAAAACCCAGCAGAGACGAGGGAACGGTGGCCTCCCATTTGCCTGCTGTTTAGTGCTGGCCTCGAGTCAATTAGTCAGATTGACGCTCTTGTGGCGCATAGGCTGGCACCTGAACGGTGGCGGTGCCCTCTTCGACTACTCTGTTTTGTCCATAAGAGTTCGTTGTGTAAAATTGGTAGGTGTGATCACTCAATGTATAAGGGAAGGTTACGTAACGCAAGTTGTAGACTCGTAGACTGTTTGCTGATAGCTAACTGGTTGAGTGAGATTTGGCAGCGAACTTCGATTTCGATCGTCATCTAACTCATGCATATGATCAGTTCCCAGGTTCGTGTGGAGGTGTGTTGCAGACTTTGCTTGATAACAAGGATAAACTTGTTGAACCTCCATGTTATAGCATTTTTTTCGTACTCTCTCGCTAGCAAAAACCGCCCCGCTGTGAGTTGGCAAGAACTCCGTCTCCACACCTCTACGAATCTGGAAGCCGATGATATTTCGACTAGCTTCTGCTTTGAATAAGAATAACGGAATTGCATCAGTTCTATGCAGTCATGTAACTATCATTCGGATAGAGATGAATCAAACACAATAAATGCTAAAGCAGTTTTCTTTCGAGTCTCAAAGTAAGAAGAATCCTCATTTTCAGGCAAAATGTCAACATCAATTTGTATCCAGCCGGACCTCGAACTCAATATAGCCGCGATATCTATCAGAATTTAGCCTTTGTCAATACTTAAGTTCATCCTATTTTTTTGCTCACTATTCTTCGTTTGACAGGGCAGAGAAAAACCACTTTATTCGCAACAAAATCGCACCAGATATAGGACAAACAGAGGAAATGAATATCGCTCAGCAATTTAGAGTACAACTTCACCTCGAAAACAAGAAATCCCTGTACAAAGTTTCCAAAGTTCTTTTGTAAGTCTATTTGTTCCACATAGTCATTATCAACAACGGTATCAGGGACCATTATGTATACAGCAATACTGCTTACAAGTGAATGAAGTAATGTTAACTCTAACCATTTCTTCAAAAAAAAAAAGACAAGAACCTAGGACGGTTAGGATAGCTAAAATAAAAAAAACATATGAATACATAAAAGTTAAACTTGAGCAGAATTTGGTTTTGATAACTCGAGTGTAAGTAACAGAGTTTACAGAATGCTCACGTCAATGGCTCTTGAGCTCGCCTCTGTTCGAATGCACTTAGGCGTGAGATCCATCCTACAAAAGAAACGATCGGCGAAGTTCAAGCAGATTGAGTGAGTGAGTGAGCGCTCTTACCTCATAAGTTTATAGCTATGGCGCACGAAGTTGAAAGCGATCTTTCTGCGAATATCTCAACTAAAATGGAATGATTAAGTCGCGCAAACATTTTGATGATAACAAAAGGCTAACTATGAATAGGGAGAGGACATTCATAAGGTGATATCTATATAAGAAAATGATGAAATGGAAAAGTAGAGCACAGAACACAAGAAAGGTCATACCTCTGATGGGCCCCATTTAATTGCTCGCTTATATGTGCAACTACATGAAGGATCCTATAAGCAAATATCTAATATATAAAGAATCGTAAGCGCAATTCAAAAATGTGCACATAGCGGGAAACCACGTGGCGGTCCCGTAGCGCGCGCATGCTACTAGCACCTTCAATTGCTGGTTCACTAGTGTTTACACAAAAGGTGAAAAATATAGAACCGTAAAGGATAGACAAGAACAGAGACAAAAATGAATCACAAATCAATCAAATCACACAAGAACCGAAACATGTAGAAAGCGTGCAGACGCGCTCCAGTGCCAAGTTTGGAAGGACGAGAGTTGACGAGAACTCGAACAGGGCGTGGCCACTAGTCGTGCCTGTTCCAGGGCATTTGTCGCCTTCCGCGTGTTCCCCGGGTGAGGGTCGGGGCCGATACATTACCCGACGCCAATGAAAAAATGGTGCATAGTTTTGAGTTAGGGGATTTACGTTTCTTGCGTTTTGCACGTTTTGTCGCCTAACGCTTGCTTGCCCTCCAGTTTAAAAAACACCGCATGTGATTGAAGCACGATATCTATCAAGCGTAGGCTGACAACTCTTAACTATTATACTTTTGACCCAAAGAGAGAGGAGAGGCAATGGTTTGATTCGCTCTCTTCACTATATGATAGATTATCAAGCGCTCTAAACGTCCAAACCAAAAAGGTCCAAAACTTATGTGAAGTCTCCGATATTTATGCTCCGAACCCATTAGGACACATAACTTTTTGGAACTATTTACATGATATAGTTTGGAGTGATATTGTATACACTTAGCCCGAATTCGGTGTTGTATGCTTGTTTGTGCGCTGTAAACAAGCCTTTGTTTGTTTGAGTCTTGTGTTTGAAATTCGCGCGCTTGCGAAAAAACAAGTTCAACTCGTAAAACCTGGCATGTTTGTCGTTTTCGGCGCTCCCCCAAGATTTAATAAAAACGATATCTCCGTTGCTTCTGACCTCAAAACGAAGTCCAGTGTGACCCCAGACCATCTGTGCCGCGACCTGTTTCAGGCTGTAGAGCAGACTTGGCGTTGCAAACCAGTTGATGTTGATACCAATTTCGAATGCGTTTCTAAAGTCGAATTCAAGAAAGGACAACACTTCTAGGGCTGAACATTTCAGCCAACTTCAAGAAAATGATGTTGGTGATCACCATCGCTTGTTTTTGTTTTTGGTAGAGTTGTTGTGGGGTTTTTGAATTGTTTCGTTGCACTAATAGGCGAATCTTAGTACAAGTTATCAGATGTAATGACTTTGTTCATCGCATCATTGTCTAGAGGTTGGTTTCTCCATCGTTGATCGTTGTGTGAGGAGTGAGTTTTCCACTTTTCCTTTATCTTTACGGGGCTCCCACTTTACGTAACAAAATCTCTTTGCGCCCTAGTTTAGATTCTAGTCACTGAATGTGAGATAAACTTTCTTCTGACAGGGTTTCGATGAGGTTATGGTATAGCCTCACGGAAAGGCGGCTAAGGCTTGAAATATACCTGACAATGGGTGGCTATAGCTGTCGAGATCCGGTCAGCGGCAAACGTTGAGGGGCTCGTTAGCCGTGTAGCCGTCAGCCATATGTGTCGCATTGCCTATATGATCGTCTCCACGATTCGTGTAGTGGTGTATTGCAGACTTTGCCTGATAACACAGGTAAACTTGTTAATCTCCACGTCATTTTGGTATACACCAAGCTGGTACCACAACGGGTATAACTGTTTATTAGATAGTAGCGGAGCAGCCGCTGACTATTAACAGTGAATATGCGGAACAGCCGCTGACGATAGTGGTATTAATCGAACCAACACCAGAACTGAGTATTCAAGCCCTTTTATGCCACTATTTTGGGCGTGGATAACCTGAATGCTCACTTCTGGTAAACAATAGTATCATACAGCATGAAGGATTGCCTACATGAAAGTAGGCGCCGCCAAGTAGACTATCAAGCACAGCGGAGGGGTGACCTGGCGGCTTAAGTGGTCAGTGAACAATAAGGTTTGTCAACGACAAGCTAACAGATATGCTAAATATAACATACACGGTAGATCTACAATGCTAAAGGTTGTAGATTATTTGGATAATCTACGACAGTCATAGCATTGTTTTTTGTACTCTCTCGCTATCAAAAACCGCCACGCTCTGAGTTGGCAAAACCCCGGCTCTACACGAATCGTGGAGCCGATGATATATTTTCGTCGAGGGACAATATTTTTGGTGTTTTCTGACCAATGCTAACACTTATGTCATGTACAAGCTAGGATGACCATATTAATAGCTTTCACTTGCGGTTCCACTTGTCTTCTGCCCTAGATCTCCATCTTTGGGCATCCTATAAGTGGTGTGAAAATCATTATACCAATGCTAGCCTTAAAGGCAGCGTCCAGCCAGAATTTGACCCCCCATATTTTCGTTATTCTGGGGCCTTTCCGTGGCCCTGATTACAGTTCCGAACTTCAAGCTCTCCAAAATTCACAAAAAACCCGATTCCTGGGGACCCTATCTTGAGGGCGCGGACGAGTTTCAATCGCTAGTCCCCGTCGGCATGCCAGCGGGGAGGAGCTGCAACTCCATGGGTGCAGTTGCAGCAGTGTACAGCTTCTGCTCAATACCATGTCAGTACGTGTCGGGAGGCAGTCCTTGGCTGGGCGGAGTCTGATATCAGACTCCGCCCAGCCAGGGACTTTCATGCCCCTTATCTCCATTCAGAGACAACGTTAGAAGACCGGACCAACGCAGATGCCTCTTTTCTGGGGCCTACATCCAGGATCGACACTAATCGGAGGGGGTCAAATTTAGCCTGGACACTGCCTTTAACTTTGCCCAGTGTAAGAGTGCACAAGCCTTTTTTTTGTTCCATGGTCTCGTATCGATCATATTCTCGATATGCATGACTCTCTAACTGAAATTTAACTTGTAAGCACAAAAGAGCCTTCCCTTAAAATATATATATATACATATATATATATATATATTCCACCTGTAGTGCTGAGAAGAGAAATGCGAAAGCAAAGGGTCAAATGACTGACGAGGAAAGAGGTTATGACAAAAACTGAACATTGCCCGCATTGCATCGTTTAGCAACCAAGATAGCTGGAGAAAACTCTCAGTCTAGGGAATATTGCGCATGTCGCGAGTATTAGAATAACGATTACTTGGTTAAAGTTGACCATCATCAGAGCGCGCAGTTCAGAAACTATGCTTTGGATAGTACCGACTTTTCGAAGCGCAGGTTGATCTAGCCCCCGGCCGACAAAGTCCCATCGTCACCTCCCCGCCTCAGATAATCGCCGGGGGCATGCGGCCATGCGAATTTTGAGCAAGCGGGCACCGGAAAAATAGTTCGCTGATTTCTTGCGGCAAGCTTGCAGAAATTTGGAAGAATGTTGACCAATTTTCAGACGAATGCTCGGAGAACTACCGCGGTTTTCCTATAGATTAGTTGCGGCGCATTGGCCGCATTCTCGTGGACTTCCCGCGAGAATATGCAGCATTATTGAGGGCCGCGCGGTCCTTTGTGGAGGACCGCACAGTCCTCAGGTACTTTCCGCTAAGAGAAAGTACCTCAAACTTGAGTAATTAAACCATCGATGACACCTCTGCAGCGTAGAGTCTCACATTTGCTCGACGTATGCCCGAAACTGCTCAAAAAGAGTCCAAGCGCCTGCTGAAAAGTGTGGCCAGTGCTCGCTGAAAGAGATTATTTGACGAGCGCCCGCAGAAAACTCTGTATTTGCCTCGCTAGCAGGACATTCAACAGTAAAGAACGTACCGCCCGCTGAAGGTTTGGCCACGCCGCAAAATTCTGCTCACCGCCTCCCGCGATTATCTGAGGCGGTGCCGGCTGGCAACGGGGACAACCCCGGTAAACGACGAGGGCACTGTCCCGTCAGGCGGAGCGACGCGCCGGCGACTGTACGAAGCAGTCGTGTCACATGCATCGGACTATTAAGGATTTTCGTCAAGCTGCTAGGAAGTCCCCCGGAGGCGACGCGCGTCATTGCCCGCATGCGAATAGTGAGCTAGGGCTACCTGCCCCGGACAGGCAGGCCAAAGAAGCGAGTCCAGGAAATCCGACTAGCGACGATTAACATAGGAACTCTGACGAGCCGCAGCCGAGAGCTACGCGATAGACTGAGGGAGCGATATATCGATATCGCATGTGTACAAGAAACGAAATGGAAAGGGAGACAGGCTAAGGACATCGGCGACGGATATCGCTTATACTACACGGGAGATAGCACCGCCAGAACGGAGTCGCGATCATCGTCAGCGGTAGATACCGCGAGTTAGTGGCCGAAGTGACGCGCATTTCAGACAGATTGATGGCGATGAAGATCGAAGCAGATGATGCCACGCTTCGAATAGTTTCGTGCTACGCCCCGCAACCCGCATGTGCCGAAGCCGAGAAGGACGCGTTTTGGAGGGACTTCGACATCCTACTAAGGACATTCGACGCGCAGACTACATCTTTGTAGGAGGCGATCTTAATGGACACGTTGGCAACGTACATGATGGATTCAAACGATACCATGGTGGAAATGGTTACGGCCAGAGGAACGAGGATGGAGAACGCATCCTAGAAGTAGCAGAAGCACACGACTTGGCCATTGCGAGCACAATTTTTAAAAAGAGGGAGTCGCACTTGATTAAATACGCGAGTGGGGATCGTTCAACTCAGACTGACTATTGGATGCTGCGCCGAAGCCACTTACTGATGGTGATGAACGCGAAGGTCATACCCACGGCGACACAAGCATTTGCGCCACAGCACCGGTTGCTCGTGTGGATCTTTGACTGAACATCCACTTGCAGTTATGAGCCAGGGGGACGACAACAAAGAGGATCAAATAGTGGAAGCTTTCTGAACATCGCCAGCAAGTCAGAGAAGCTTTTAACGATCTGGAGGTGTCGGCAGAGGATATGGAATCGATTGAAGAACAATGGAATCGGATCACTTTGCAGACAAGCAAATCTGGTGGTGGTCTAAATCAGTCCAGCAAGTAATCAAAGAGAAGAAAGAAGCCTTCAAAGCC